TTTAATATTTAAGTGACTTTATTTTTTTTTTCTCCCACATTGTTTATTTATCATTCTATTTTATATATTTATGATAAATACAAAATAATTTATTATATAATTTCTTGCCATTAAAAAGTCTAAAATAGATATTTTTTGCTACAAATGATAGAAAATATTTAATTTTATGTTAACTAAAAAAAAAAAATGTAATACAATTTCAGCTATTACAGATCAATTCAACAATAAAAATGAAACTTCAATCTACAATCACATTCCTATTAGCATTGTCAAGCGTATATGGTTTCATAGCATATGACTGTTCTGGACCCAAACTTAACATCACCTCATTCAACAGCCTACATATTGAGAAATGTCAGGCACAACCACCCCCAAGAACAATTGAATTACCAAGAATCAAACTTTTACAAAGAGCCGAAGTCCGAACAATTATATATAAAGCATGCTTCATATCAGTAGATTATATCATCACTAAATGCTCCACATTCAATGATGCTCAAGCAGTTGAAGGAGGATTTTTTTCGGAAATAATAATGCTAGGACATGCACAATGTTCTGAGATACACCAACGATTGGTATACAACTTCCCCAATGGAGGGATAATACTAGGATTAAAAATCAATCAAACTACATACGCAACCCATACATTAGCTGGAAGCATAGACAGAGATGAAAACTGTCTTTTGCATCAGATAGAGGATCTTGGAGAAAAGTCATAGTTCAAGGAAACTATAAAATACATTTAAGCGAGGGCATCGCAAATGCTATTAGCAAGGATAACGAATTAGTTCTACCTACGGGTACAAAACTAAAACTTTCCGAACTTTATGGATTAGACACACATAAAGGAGAAATAATATGGAACAATAATCAATTTCACCATAGCTGCGATGTTCAAGATTTTGATGTGTTATACGATGGACCTGCAACCGTAATGATCTCAGAACCACCTCATTCAACTTCTGAAGAAACTCAAACCTTCCTAGTAGAAACACAAAACATAGTATTTGCATTAAAAAAAATTAAAAAAACTTTTGCCTGTGAAATACCAGTTATTCTCACAGAACACCCACAGTTATTCATCCTTATGGACATTTCTTTTATGAATCACTTTACAATAAAAAATATAATACCTCAGAATACAGACTTGATGGCCTACGTAAACACGAAATTTGTTTATATCGAAAACTTCCTCAAAACAACATTAGTTTCATTATACTCCGACTTGGTCAAAAAACAGTGCGAACTAGAGAGAAAAATACTATTACAACAACTTTCACTAGCAACATATAGCTTATCCGAATTTGCTTATTCAATGGGTGAAGGTCCCGGATACACAGCATTAAGGGCTGGAGAAATTATATACTTACTGAAATGCAAACCAGTAGACGTGGAAATCGCACGACATACATCATGTTTTAATGAACTTCCTATAACATATAATAATAAAACACACTTTATGGCGCCAAAAACACATACTTTACAAACATACGGTACCGAAATGGACTGCAACGAACTTTTACCACCAGCGTTCCTTCTCGACGGGGAATGGTTCGGGTTTGCTCCAACACCAAGGGAAATAAAAGTACCACAAACACTAAGACCATCCACGACCTGGACTTGGACATACAGAAGTCCAGAAGCTTTGATGATTGCAGGGATTTATACACAAGACATAATGACTGCACTTCAGAAACATCTTATTTTTCCACAAGAAATTGATTCAGTCCAAAGAAACATCGCAAGACAATCAATGGGCTATAACTTTGTAGATCAAGGACTAAGACTAAAAAGTCTATTAGACGAAGATACTATTGGTAATATGGTTGAAAATAAATTACAAAAAATGTGGGGATGGTTCACTTCTTTTGGAACTTTTATATCAGGACTCTTAGGATTATTTGTAATTTGGAGGGCATTTACCACAGCAATAAACACGGGTTTAAATATATCCATACTATATCAAACTTTTGGATGGAGTATAAAATTATTAGCGGGCATATTCTCAAGTTTAACACAATATGTTATGCACAAGGCCCACAATAAACAACTTTACAAAGAAGTAAGCAATCCGACAAGCAAGTTACCTAATACAACATTAACTGAAATCCAAAACAAAACCTCAACAAAGCATTATCCAAATAACAGGACAATATCACTTTAAAAAAAAAAAAAAAAGAAGAACTTATATCAGCCATAGACATAGTACAATTGACAATGCTAATATCAACTATCTCATAATCAAACAACATTCAACATCAACTTTTATTCAAAAAAATTGTTATAATTATAATTACACAATTACAATGCATTTTAATGTATTGTATGGTTAGCTACAATATTTCATTATAATATTATATGATACCACATTTCATTATACAAAAATGTACCTTTCATTTGTATTTCTAACTATATTCCATTTTACTGCATGCTATTAACTATATTCTAAACTATTATACAAAAACGTATAATTATAATTATATCTTATAATTATTTCATATTATATTCTACTATACTCATTATAATTTATCTTAATATTTATATACTCAAAATTATACAATGATAACTTTTTATTTAACCCTTTAATACAACTATTTAATCTATAGATTATTAAATCTAACAATGTACATTTTTATTTGTATTACCAATTTTCTATTAATCACAATTTTATATTTTTTACTGTAAAACTATTTATCTCACATACTTTTATATTATATACATTTATTTTTTTTTTCTCCCCCTTTCGTTCATATGTATAACTACATGTACCGTTATGAGGGCATAACATAAAAAAAACCGGGGTGCATGTAATGATATCCATATATCATACACAATGAACATTTCTTATAGTCAATTAATATGACATGTTATTGTAATTATTACTTACTAATATATAATTCACTTATGTATAAAGTCTAAATGTCATGATATAGTCATTATACATATCAAAGTACTAATGACAATTCAAATAATCTAATATCACAATAAACATACTTTGTTCTACAATAACAATTATTATAATAAAAATAAAAATACGATAGTGACGAAAACAAAAAGCAGCATAAAACGCCCTCCCACGGGCTCATCTACCTCCAGTCTTTCTAGCGTCTTACACACGTACACTTTCAGTGCGTAAATGTGTAAAGGACGTTCATGAAGGCTGCAGTTATTATTTTTTACATATCGTCACTATCGTAGTTGTGTTTTAATACTAAAAAGTGTGTTCTCTTTCTTTCTTTACAATCACACTCAGATTCTTTCTCCTTTTTACCCCTGGAACTTTGTCAACCTTCATCATCGGTGTAACGCGAAGCAAATGCGCATCCATCTTCACGGAAGGTAAAAGATTATATTACTTACAAGCCCAATCTCTCTCTCTATATTGGTAATTTAACAAAATCCAATCATATATATATTGGTGAGTTTTGTAAGGTATTATATTATATTTATATATGTAATTAGCCAGGTTTCACAGAAGAACAGTTGTGTTCTCCATAGGTAATTTTATAGTTTATTGTAAAAGAACTCACGACCCCAATAATAATACTTCCTCTAATAGGAAAAGGTGATAAAATAAATATAGGTATACCAACATAAGGTGTAGGCATTCTGGGAGGTCTAATTAATAATTACAGTTACCTCATTCCCTTTACCTTAGTTTGCACCTTTTATTTTATTACATACTATAGCGAAGTTATACGACCCAATTGGAGCATTGGGGCCGATCATATTTTGGGCGAAGTGTTATATGCAATCGCTGTGGCAACTTAAGCTACAGTGGGATGATCCACTCCCGCAACTGTTGTGCGATACATGGAAAAAACACTCATCAGAGCTTCCATGTGTCAATAAAATACAATTGCCTCGTTTTATTGCGTGTCCAGATGATAGTAATGTCCAATTAATCGGATTTTCCGATGCATCAGAAAGAGGTTACGTGGCTGTCATTTATCTGCGAGTATGTTATCCAACCGGGGATATTACGATTCATTTCGTAACTTCAAAATCAAAGGTAGCACCGTTGAAGTCTGCCAAGACAGATAAATCACTAACCATTTCACGTTTAGAGCTATGCGGTGCGTTGTTGCTCGCACAAGTTTTACATCGCTTGATGATCACGTTTAAAAACATCTTACCTATTGAAAAAGTATACGCGTGGACCGACTGACAAGTGGTTTTATCGTGGTTAACATCGTCCCAACAACAATTTAAAATTTTTGTAACGAACAGACTTGCAAAAACTGCAGAGTTGTTGCCCACGTGGCGTTATGTGGCATCAGAATCGAATCCATCCGATTGTGTATCACGGGGATTACTTCCCTCACAAATTATCAACCATCATCTTTTTTGGCAAGGACCTTCCTTTTTAAAAATACCCGAGTCGGAGTGGTTAGTTGAACGTGTCAAAAACATATTTGCCTGAGTACTGTGCTATAAATAAAACGTGTTTAACTCCAATAGCTAACGCTGATGTCGAATGGTTGACTCGGTTTTCGTCATTGAGGCGTATGCAGCGGGTGGTTGCGCTCACGGTTCATCAATCGCATTCGCAAAGTACGAAATAGGCCTGCACAATTGTATCACGGTCCAATCTCATATATTGAATTGGAGACTGCGATGTTATTCATTGTTCGCATAACACAACATTCCTGCTTCACTAACTTGTTTAATACACTCAGTGTGTCAACCGCGAAAATCTCACCTCGATCTATCGCCCAGCTGGCACCGTTTATCGACAAAAATCACATTATACGTGTAGGTGGTCGACTTCGAATGTGCCTTTTGAAACGCAAAATCCTATACTGCTACCCAAATCCAGTATATTGACGACATTGCTGATTCGTAATTTTCAGTTTACGCATCTCCATGCAGGACCGCAACTAGTGCCTTCATTATTATCACGTCACTACTGGATATTATCAAGTCGGTCAGCCATTCGCCATGTTATATTTCAATGTGTAATTTGTGCGCGTCATAAGGCGATGATTATGTATCCTATCATGTCTGATCTCCCGTCAAGTAGAGTTACAGCCTCCCGACCATTTTTGCATGTCGGTATTGATTTTTCAGGCCCGTTCACCATCGCAGAAGGACGTCGCAAAAATGCACGGTCACTAAAATGTTATTTATCTGTATTTGTATGCATGGCGGTTAAGACAGTGCATATTGAAGTAGTATCCGATTTAACGACTGATGCCTTCTTGGCTGCTTTACATCGATTCGTTGCTCGCCGAGGTAAGCCTTCTGACATTTATTCCGATTGCGGAACAAACTTTAAAAGGGCTGACCAGCAATTACGTAATGCACAAACCAGATACACTAACGATATACCGTGTAAGTGGAATTTTAATCCTCCCGCAGCTCCGCATTTTGGAGGAATTTGGGAAGCCACAGTAAAGTCAGCGAAGTATCATTTAAAGCGTGTTATTGGCCCAACGGTTAACATTTGAAGAAATGACCATACTAGCAGCCAGAGTAGAAGCAATTTTAAACTCGCGACCGTTAGTCGCACCGTCCTCTGATCCAAATGATTATCGAGCTTTGTCACCAGGTGATTTTTTAATTGGCCATCCATTAGTGGATATTCCGGAAGTTAATGTTCTAGATGTGGCACAAAATCGATTGACGCGTTGGGAGTTACTCAAGCAGCTTTACCAGCCAAACGTTGGTCAAGCGAATATCTCACGTCATTACATAGTCGCTCTAAATGGTTAGACAACAAACCAAACATTAAGATCGGGGATCGAGTACTAGTCCATCAGCCTAATCAACCACCCATTCATTTGAAGCTCGGTCGTATTGAAGAAATCCATCCCGGTTCGGATGGAGTAGTAAGAGTTGCTACTGTACGTACGGCCACCGGTACATTGGTCAGACCAATAATTAAGTTAGCTCTACTTCCTATCGATTCCCAATAATCCCATTTTCCACAAATATACTTATAGTTAAGAAAAAATAAGTTGTTTGTTAATTTTTTATTGTTTAATTTTTCAATCATGATTTTTTATCGTATGTATGTTCAATGAAAAGTCCACAATATCTTCTTAATAATTCCGTCGAGAAAAATATATCCAAATGATATAAGCACATAATAAATGTCTGAGTCGGCATTTCTATATTGTGTGTGATTCGCTCCAACACCGCATTTAAGATTTCAGCGTCATTAAATGTGATTCCACTTCCTTCATTGTACAGTCCAGATTCTTGTAACTTCAATTTTACCGTAGATTCGATCGATTCATTTCAATCCTTATTGAAATAAGACAAAAATGCAGTGCTCCAATGCTGTGTCATTTTATTTTTGATACCAATGAAATCCTCCTGACTACTGGTGTCCAACAATTCTTTAACGTGACTCTTATAAACCTCGATATTACCCTTTTCAACATTTTTTTTTTTTAACCAAAACTCAACGTCTCGCAAAATGTGGTTCCAACAAAAGAAATATTTGTTTGCAGTTCAGTTTTAATGGCATAAATTATGGCATTCTGTCTATCGGTAACAATAGGCACTCTTTGAATTTCCGGATATATTTTTTTGCCGACATTAAAAAATGAAGAATGTACTTCCTTTTTTTTCATAGTGGATCGTGTACATAATAGGTAACACTGGATTTCCACCACACACATTTTAAAAAATTGGGTCGACGAAAGATAAGACAGATAAATAAAAATCACCACGGCTAAAAGTAGTATAAGTATAAGTATAAGTAGTTAAATAACACCCATAATAACCAATTGCATCTTTGAATTGTGCAATGCACCTATTTGAAGACATAATTACATGAAAATCTGGAAAAAGTTGTATGTCATCGATGAACCCATCTACTTCAGATGCTAACGTGCACACCCCAATTATATCATCTTTGGACAACAACCGTTTTTGCAGTTCGTTACGTTTTGTATTCTGCACTTGTTTTTGGTCCCAAGGGTGTAATACTTTTTCAAGACAAGGATTAAGATCAGAACAAACAAGTTTTTTGTATGAATCGTTGGACGGATACGATATGATTTCACGCTGTGCTTTTAATCGAGACTTGGCCGTTGGAACATGGGCAATATGTAAATGAGATGTTCGGTTTCCGTGTGGTAACGACCTAACATTCTCTAAAGAACTGTAAGTGTAGGAACGGGTTTGAGGTAATGGATAGACGACACGTCAATTAAATGTTTATATTAATTATATTATATTAATCATAATGTGCTGCGTTGTGACGGCAACGTCCGGTTGATTGGTCGGTGGTTGTGTGGCTGGCATCTGGGCCGACTGCTGCAACGGTGGCTCCGTAGGCTGGGTGGCTGGAGGCTGAACGGCTGGCGGTTGCACCGCTGGCCTCTGGAACCGGCCTCACCCATCCCGGACGTCATGGCGCTGGTATGCTGGCGGTGATCGGCGGGGCAGCACAAGCCCCGATGGCCCTGCCCGCGGCCTGACAAATTCGCGCTGCGGGGTGTTGGCCTACGTGGACCGTCGTCCTTCCACGAACCCTCGCTCGAGTAGGGCCCATGCGGTCGAGGCAGTGGCCGCGCGTTCGGCTGACCAACCCACGACCGTGTCCTTTGGGCCATCGCCCGACAGCCTCCTGGCTTTCCGCAACAACTGCGCGGCCATCACCCGGAGCTTTTCCACATGGGTACTCATCATGCCACGGGATGGCCGGTTGTTGCGGGTTGCTTGCTCTTTCTGCCATCTAAAACAAGGTATGATTAGTTAGTGTTCTCTGACGGTCCTACAGCTCGCTTCTTCGCTGAGACATGTAACTTAGTAGGGTGTTTACCCTCCGTCAAGAACACGCCGGTTTCTAGTGGTTTACCCAACTTAACCGGAAATAACCATTTCGGGGCGAACCCGGTGTGAAAACGCTTCTCCGCACTTGACTGCGGATGCGCTTTGTAGTATACCCAATCCCCTACTGACAGATTGCTTCTTCCCAGGGATACTGTTTGTATGGGTACTGAGGGTTTTGAGGCCGAAAACCACCGGGTAACCCTTCCCTACCACAGCAGCATCATCCGGTTCTACCGGAGAATCTTTGATTTCTACCGGAGGGTTCCGCACTGCTCCGGACAACTCCGGATCAATTTTGCCCGCGTCCGAAGATCCTTCGGCCAGTTCAAACTGCCAATCTCCGGGGGCCTTGGTCTCCCGGCCAAACATCATTTTGGCCGGCGACTGTCCAGTGTTTCGGTTCTCTCTGTTTCTTACGGAGAAAACACGTGAGGCAGGTAGACATCCCATAGATGATGAGGCTTATCAACAAGTAGTGTTCGCAATCCTTTCTTCAACTCTTGATTTCGCCTTTCTACAGGGTTGGCACGTGGGTGGTATATTGGAGTCGTCCATCCTTCCACTCCCCACTTCTTTAGTGCTTCTCCCATTGCCTTGGACACAAACTGCGAGCCATTATCTGACAATAATGCCCTCGGGTACCCGAACCGTGGAAACAACTCCCGTTCGAATGTATCCACAATCGATTTGGTGGTCGCCTTTCCTCGGGGGTACACCTCTACCCAGCGACTGTAACAATCAGTTACTACCAAAATCGTTGTCTTACCCCGCTGCGTTCGTGGGTATGGACCCATAATATCGACACTCAGCACCTCCCAAGGTTGCCGTGGGGGTGGGACTCGGGTGCATATCCGATCTTCCGGTTTGCAATTCAGTGGTTTTACGACGTCGCACGCCCGCATGTAATTACGCACTGCCGCACGCATACTGGCCCAAAAAAAACGACTCTTTATGCTTCGGTACGTTTCCTTCCACCCTGGTTGATTCGCTGCATTGTGGTCGTGAAACCTTTGTAGCAGAATCTGGGCCTTGTCCGCCGGGATAACCACCCCCTCTTCACCAAGCGCGATGCACAATCCGGGCCGAATCACTGGGGGATCGTGAATATTGTTCTCCAACGATTCTTCGTCCACGGTATTCGGTCCCACAGGACAACACGATAGTGCATCGGCTGCTTCGTTTTCCACTCCGGGCACGTGTTCCGCGAAAATCTTGTAAAATGTTAAGTGTTCCGTCATTCGAAAAAGGTTAAGAACCACTGGTCTAACAGTATACTTTAGGAGTTTCAAGAACTCGAGAATAATATTATACAAGCACAACAAAAAACAAAATCTTTTTTTTTAATGTGTAATTATTGAGTTGGTCCTTGTTTCTGATTTTTAAGTCATTATAATATAACAAATTACTAAGTAATTTATATATAATAATAATAACAAGAACAATTTTGTAGTTATCATGAGACATAAATATATTTAAAACCTTTATTTTTTTGAGTTGGGTCCCCCACTCCCTCGTTTAAAAAAATCTCTGGAAGGGGACATATAATATAAATATACTTACCGCTTATTTAAAAATTCGAGAAAGGAATGTTGGTTCAACACTTTAAAACAGAAAATTGTTTTTTGTATCACCAACGAATACGTTGTCTAAAATGCACGTCACTACACTTAGAGTGATTGTTTAAAAAGGACACAATCATGAAAATTATAAGAATGTTAATTCATTTGTAATTTAACCTAAAAATAAAGTATAAACGGGATAAATGTAATAGCTATACAAAATAAACACAGCCAATGTACGTAATGACGTAACGTGTTTTAAAATCTAGGGTTTATTAAAATATTAGCAGGTTTTACCCAGCTTGTCTGATAATTTTCGTGTATAATATTCAAAACAAAATATGTAATAACTAATAACATGCTAGGCAAAAGTCTACAAATATAAAATAAAATCAATTATTTCCAAAATAACAAAATGTATATTTAAATGTGTCATGATCATTGTTATATAATAGGAAAAACAAACATAGTAACAAGTAACGACTATAAATATATGCTCTTCACAAGATAAAGCATACGGCAAGTGACATTTCCACCGAGCAGTAGCTGATTAGTGTGTGCAGTTTGAAGCAATTCAAATGATGAAAAGTACTAGTGCACTTACGCATTCTGACGCGTATTCCCTAAATATTATATTACATTCCTTTTAATTAGTTAATAATTGTATTATTAAGAATAATAGATCCATTTTGTGTGTTGTATATATAAACATAGATTATATTAAACTAATTAAATATATACACAATTTTAAGATAAATTTATAAGCCGCAGCCATATGTACAAGTAAAAAAATGTATTGTCAAATAATTTAGTCAAAATCGAAATTGAACTTGTTCCAACTGTAATTATAAAGAAGTGCGAACATTGTTTATCATCCAGAAACTAGTCAGAGAATTTTTCAACATTTTTCTTCTTCTTTTATAACATTAAAGAATTACATGTCTGGTGTAACACGTTACTTCATGACCCCTACTACCTTAATATTCGGAAATGTAAAAATATATAAAAATGTTTTATTTCAATATTAAAAATAAAAAAGCTATTTCCATTACGTTGCATAATGGGGTTTAAAATTGACGATGTTAAATAATTAGAGGTTAAAAAATCAATTTATTTACTTCACGATTAACAGGTATAAAAACAATACAGGTAAATATTTAAACAAACTGAAAAAATTATTATGCAAGTTTTGGTAGTGATAATTGTAACATAGGCATTATTTATAAAAAAAGCATATTAAAAAATGAAGTACCTAATCAGTATTTTAAAATTATGGAATTGTTTGAATTTTAGGTATATAAAGTATTTTAAGATAGTAAATTGAAATATTTGTTAAATTAATTTGACTATTTGACAAAATTATATTGTAACAAAAAGTAAATGTAAGTGTTTTTTTTTCAGTTTTTTTTAAGTTCTAAAAACTAGTTGTCCACAAAATCATGCAAATTATGAGCAAAATCATGGTATGAAGAAACGTGAAAAAAGTGATATTTTTTTGGATTTTTGTAACATGTCAAAATCATTCATTTTTTTTTATTTGGTAAAAACTATCTGTCCGCGAAAAATGAAAACTAGTCTGCAAAATCATGCAAATTATCTGCAAAATGATGGTATAATAAAAAGTGAAAAAATTTAATTTTTTAATTTTTTGCAATATTTCACCGGCATGTCATCCGTTTTTTTTAGTTTACTAAAAAACTAGTTGTCTGCAAAAATTGAAAATTAGTCCGCAAAATTATATGAAGAATCGGAAATGTACATGTTGTCGAAATGGAGCTTACCATCTGTCCTTTGTTTGTCGTTTTCTTTTTCTATCCTTGCCAAAGTCTTTTCTTTGAGGTGCTTTTCATTGGTCTGATATAATTTTTGTTTTTCTTCATAGTTCGCATTTTTATAACATTCACAGACGTCGCACTGATCCTTTTTTGGAACAAAAAATGAAATATTGAATTCAGTATTGAATATTCTGTTAAATGTTGACACCGTAGCAAAAGGCAAACCGTCGTTTTCAAGTATAGATTTATAATCCCGATATAAATCCGCTAGGCATTTATCACTACTTATAAATTCTCTTGTTATTTGAGCTTTCAGGTAGTGTGATTCAATCCGTGGAATAGAATTTATAAAATTTAAAACTCTTTGCTTAATTTGTGGATCAATAGTTGGTTGATTGCCATGTTTGCCTTATAGTTCACCTTCTATTACACCTAACTCAGTTTATTTAGAAAAGGCAGTTTTAATAACTCTATCATTCAAGTCAAGAGTGGATTTGAAAAATGTCTTGCAAACTCTGGTTTTTGACTAACTAATTTCAAAATAAAACGCGGTATTTAGAGCCCTCAAATTTTGTGTGCTGGAATATCAGCTAGTTCCCAGTATGCATTAAAAAGTTGGAGCCATGTAGGTTGATTGAAATTGTTTTTACAACTCAGCTGAACACTGTTTCCACAGGGTGAATGAATTTTTTTTTCTGGAACTTGTTTTTTTGATTTAGACAAAGAGTGGTAGGCTTTTCCTGAATTTCTTAATACTTTTTCAACTTTTGTTTTCCACATCGATGGTTTTCTGACCCTCTTCATCCCCCTTTTCTCTTCTGTGATAGGCTCTTGTTCACGAAATCGAGGCATAGCAGGGTTTTGAGAAAGATCTACATTTCCATCTTCAGTATCAGTACTAGAACTGCTAGAACTGCTGCTGTCACTGATTGATGAAACACTAGAGCTACTACTAGTTGAAGATGAAGCGGACAAAGGAATAATAGAAGGAAAAGATGTTTTTATTTTATTAGCTGGCAACTCAAAATTAGGATCCTTATCAGAATCATCATAGTCACTTTCGTTACGATGAATTGGTGAAATAAAGTTATCAGTATGTTCATTTCCTTTTACAGGTACTTTAGGGGAGCTAGAGCTCGATGTAGTTGGCTGCAACTTATTACATTGCGACGAAACATTGAGGGTGATTTTCCTCTCATATTTTTCTCTTGCCAGACTGACTAATAAGTTCACACGTTTGCTCATATTTCTATAACATAGATAATACTATTATATTCCTCTATAATATACTCTGAATAACCATCAATAGTGTAGTAACTCAAAAATAACCAACTACGAACTCAACTACCACCATTTTTACCTTAGTGTTTTCAAAGATCTATGTAAACTCTACAAAATCATTATCTCATTTGATTTCAAGGGCATTATTTTCAAAAAAATAGGAATTAATGAGAAAAACAAATATTTTCAGCAAAACTGATGTAACTAATAATATTACTATTTTTTCTGTAAAACTGAAAGAAGTCAAAATAAATATAAATATTTTCACTTTCCCGAATTACTAAAACTGTCGCAACTCAAAATCCAGCAATGAAAAATTATAGATTAAACTATCAACAACGTATTAATTCAAAATAATAATAATAATAATAATTGTTCATTCATGAATAAAACGGGCAAATTGCCCTATAGTACAAGTAAATAAATACATTTTTACAAAAAGTTGATACGGACATCGTACAATAACATAAAATAAATCTTAAAAACTAAAAAAAATTTTTCAACAAGACTATTATAATTTGAAATATAACACTTTTGTTTAATTAACGTAGGTGATCTCTGCTTGATTTCCGGAGAGTAACTAAGATAACAACCGTTTTGTTGGTGGTACCTCGTTATCATTCATTCGACAAAATGTACATAAACTGCCATCTGGTGGAGAATAATAAAGATAAAGATAAATCTGTTTTGTTGATTTATATCATTTCGTTTGTAGAATCCGAATATACGTTTAACTAAAAAAACATATTTTTTGAGTTGTAACTGTTTTGATATGGATGTGCGATTTCGTAAATAAAAAAGGGTTGCGTTGCTCTCCCTCCATTCGGAAACTCAATCCGTTCATTGACGACCATGGACTTATCAGAGTGGGCAGACGTCTTACTAACGCGGACCTGCCGTACGCTCACAAACATCCACTGCTGTTACCGTGTTATCATAGCTTAACTGTGTTACTCATTGACCATCATCACTATAGCCTAAAAAATCCAGGATCTATAGCCCTTCAAGCTCATTTGCAGCGTGAATCCTGGATACCATTGGCACGAAAACTTATTCGATCTCGCATACGACTCTGCGTCGCATGTTTCCGTACCCGGCCACGGTCAGTTCAGCCCAAAATGGCCAGTCTGCCAAGTTATCGAGTTCAACAAGTTTAACCGTTTGCCATCACTGGTGTGGACTACGCTGGTCCTATCACGCTGAAGGAATCTCGTGGTCGTAAATCAGTACCTAAACTAGCGTAATTTTGTTTGTTCATATGCATCACTACAAAAGCAATTCACTTAAAACTGAGTTCTTACTTGTCCACCGAATGTTTTTTGATGGCGTTTACTCGGTTTTCAGCCATACGTGGACCCATTAAGGAAATGCACAGTGACTGCAGGACCAACTTTATTGGAGCGTCACGATTGATGGACAAAGGGCCGGCGGAAGGCACAGGCAACACAGGCCTATGCCTGGGGCGGCAATATGGAAGAGGCGGCATTATGGAAGAGGCAGAATTTCCTTGATAGTAGGAAGGACCGTATTTAGAATAACATAAATATGTTGCTACTTAGGCTAACGCAAAAACCAAAAACCGTTTTTAAAATACCAATGATTTAATTAATATAAATTAAATAAATTTATTTTTGGTTGGAACGGTTTATTTAAAAGTACAAATGTATAATACACCGAAATAAAATGTAGATAACGTATAACATTAATTGATTTTTCCCCGAAATGACGACGTCGCGGTGATCGAACGTCGATAACAATAACATACTACTAATAATAATTATTCTGTGACAATAATATCCGATATTATTATTATTTGTTATATTGTTTATTTTTGGCGTGGCGACACGCCGACACGCCGGGTTATTTGCTGATAATACGATAATCGCTTCTATTTGTTCTATGATAAATTGATAATACTAATTACTAGCGTCTAGCACATCTCAATGCGTCTCAATAATATTATTTGCTTTTCACTCGTCGCTTTGTCGTGACCTGCACTATTTTTACTAAAAACGGTGGCTGCAAACTTACAGGTATCGTACCCATATTTAGCATATTATATCATTTGTATGTATATTTGTGTATAATTGTTATAATAGGTATAATATGTTGTTAGCGTGAATATTAATTAAGTTATTCGATCATTACTCGGTGTTTGTATTATTGCATACAATATTATTATACCTTAATGACTTAATCTACATCAAAAATTAAAATAGGTCTATATTAGTCTGAAAAAATGGTACATTTGATATTCCGTTAATTAGTATAGTATTAATAATTTATTCAATTCATTAATAAAATAAAATAATAATTAATCAACAATTTAAACATAATAGCATTTGTTAAATTACTTTTCTTAACTGATATACAGTTTTTTCTTAGAATATCGAAAAAAGAAAGTTGAAATCTGAAATCTGAAATGTCGTACAGCGCTAAACGCACTTGGTTGTCAGGAGCAGAATACCAGAAAAAACGTATAGCACGTGAATTAGAAATATCTAAACAAAAAGATCGCATTTTAAATTTTTTTCAACCAGTACCAACTAGTAACTCCCAAAATAAAAATAATAATATTTCTTCAGACAACACAGACATTGAAAGTGACAATACTGGTGTGTGTGATAATGTGCAGGCTCTTGTGGAAAAAGAAACGCATGTTTCAGAATCTAACTTAGAAAATGATGGTAATTTAACTTTAAAAGCTAAAACTTCCCCAGAAGATTATTGTGAAAGTATTGAATGCCATGAAGATTTGTTGATTGAGGGTAATGAAGCGAATAACATAACACTTTCCATTGTAAAAGATGAAACGTTACACAATAATTCCAATTGGGAAATGGTTGAAGAAAATGATCAAGATTTTAGTCTAGTAGAAGATACACCTGTAGATTCGTTTGACCTTGAATTATTAAAAGATCTAAAGATGTGGCCAGTTATTTGTGATAAAATACGGATGTTTTTAGTTCAAAAGGGCCCTTATCAAACACATTCGAAATCGTACCCAAAAGATGATACAGGTTGAAGATTTACAATCAATCATTTTTTTAGAAAATTAAGTAATGGAATGGAGGTAAAACGATCATGGTTAGTATATTCCGGTATGGGCGATTCTGTATTTTGTTATTACTGTAAATTATGTAATGAGACAAAATTGTCTTTATTCAAAGAGGGATATCATGATTGGAAGAACATTGCTGAAACGTTAAAACAGCATGAACGGTCTCCACATCATGAAACATCTTTTCTTAAGTGGAAAGAACTAGAAATAAGAATAAATAATTCAAAAACCATAGGCAATATAAATGGAAAAATAATAAAAACGGAAATTCAACATTGGAGACAAGTTATAGAAAGAATAATATCATTAATAAGAGTACTTGGAAATCAAAACTTAGCTCTACGGGGAACTCACGATAAACTCAATTTAGAAAATAATGGAAATTTTTTAAAATTCATCGAGTTTTTAGGTAAATTTGACCCAGTTATGAAGGAACATATAAGAAGAATAACCTCCGATGAAATACACACTCATTATCTTGGAAAAGAGATACAAAATGAGATAATTAATTTATTAGCGAAAAAAATTAGACTTCATATATTAAATTGTCTGAAAAAAGCAAAATACTATTCAATTGTTCTCGATTGTACGCCAGATATTAGCAATAAAGAACAAATGACTATGATTTTCAGATTTGTCACGATTTCAGAAGATACTGGTGAAGTCACTATAAATGAACACTTCGTAGATTTTATTCAACTATATGATACATCTGGATTTAATATGACAAAAGTCCTATTGGATAAATTAAGAGAATTTGAAGTTAAACTTGAGGATATGAGAGGTCAAGGCTATGACAACGGAGCGAATATGCGTAGAAAACATAGTGGTGTTCAAGCAAGAATTCTTGAACTAAATTCTAGAGCTTTTTATGTACCATGCAATGCGCATACTTTAAATTTGGTTTTAAATGATTCTGCTAACTGCTAATAGGTTTTTAGTTATTAATCACCCCGATCGCGTACGTGCGTGACTTATATTTTTGTTATCATATATTATCATACATTCAATCCGTTATCACATGCGCGGCATACATTTTTCATATATTTAAAAAAAATATAATATTCTGCGTTAGAACCTGGAGATACCCTCCTTCTCAACTCCACTCTAACCCATTGAATAATATAGTATATATATATATTTAAATACTATCCCATAATCAAATAAATATTCTAACAACGTATTGTTCCTTCTTATATTTTTAGAAAAATAATATATACAAACATCCTTGACAAATAATAGGTATATTATCCGTATTCGAAAAAATATTCACACACTATTTTGCAAAAACCATTCATATTGAAAGACACTTTCGACATTAAGAGACAATAGGAGAATATCCTCTTTCAATTAAAGCTTAATGTACCCTACCGGTCGCCAGGATGTCGCGGACTCATAATGTATATCCCTATTCAATTCTTTGATAAACAATTAAGAACATACGTCGCCAGGATGCGATTGTGCCCAGCCGGTCGACAGGATGTCGCACACTAACGATATTAAAATGCCTATTAGTGAATAACACACATTAATAACTTTTGTATATAAAATATCATATTCGCTCTTGGCACCATGATTTAGCCGACTCTTAATAGCCACTATATATATATATATAGCTTGCACCTGCATACTTAGAATTCTATGATAGACTTTTCAATCAATCACATTCCGGCAAAATCCATTAATATTGAAAAATGTTCCCACCTATTATAGAGACTCCTGACCTAAGGAATCGGTAGCCGTTTAGTCCGTCTGTTGCCTTAAACTGGTGTACTCGTATTTTTCTCTCGCTCCGTCTTTATAAATTTTAGTGTGTTTTTATCGTTCACCCCGTCTTTAATCGTCGTGCACTTATTTTTTTACTCAAGTTTTCTTAATTTTTTCTCTGTACCAAGTTATATTTATTTTTTCGTAATGTTCAACTGTGAAAAATGTGTGACTGCGTTTACACGCAAAGACAGTTTGCTCAGACATATGAAAACTCATGATGGACACCAAATATTGTGTAGTATTTGCAGTAAAAAATTTTCTCGAAGAGATATATTAAGCAGACATATGAAAAACATTCACGGTATGTTTATTTAAATAAATATTTTTTTTCCTTCAAAATTTCAATTTGATATTTATTTTACAAGCTGTTGGTCGCGTTCGAAATACAACAGACCAACCATCAGGCTTACAGCCTAAATATGTGAATGAGGATTTTAACGACGAGTACGACGAAATGTGCGTGGAATTTTTGAATAATGCTGAAAATACTGGACTATGCAATACACCAGGTAAGATTTATTTATTTATTTCTAATTTAATTTTTAATTTACTGATTATTAATTATATAGTCAATGTTCACGTCCAGACACCTGTGGAGATAGCTCCTGGAATATATGCCCCTGACATACCAGCTACGGACCGTCTAACCAAAATGTTATGCTGTCGAATAAAAAAATGAATAAATTAATACCTGAAGATGACGATGATCTCTGTATTGATGCGCTGGATGAATTTGAAAATACACATACTGGTCAAGGTTAGTTTTTATCCGAATACATTATTTTAACTAGAGAATAATCAGGACTTGGAAGATATAGGTTAGTTTAATTTTTAAAAGACCCACCGATTTTATTTATAATCCGTATATTAAATTAGATTTTTTGAAGATCCGACGCTATATTTTATTTTTAAAGATTCGTACACCATAACGGTTAATGGAAAACGTGTTTCCACCGCGAATACCACCTCAGCTGCTAGGGCGAAAAGGG